ATCACTATCCGGGCGTTCCGAAATGTGCGCACACACAGGCACGCTGTCACTCACGCACACACACACACACACACACACACACACACACACACACACACACACACACACGCACACACACAATACGCTCACAGGCGCCCGATCACATACAGATCACGCCCAAACCCGTGTGTTACGACCAACATCACCTTTGCTTCGCTTGAGCTCAGTGTAGTGGAAGAGCGTCAGCACAGGGCGCGCATTCTCCGCATGTGTCTGACAACGCGGCGAGGCAAAGGTGGTACATGAACGTAAGGTGTCCATGTGTGTGTGTGTGTGTGTGTGTGTATGTGTGTTATGCACACAATGCCACCCGGCACATGTTGACACACACACCACACACACACACACACACACACCACACACGCACACACACGCACGCACCTGGTATTCGAGCAAGCTGGTGAAGGCGCAGACGTTTCCGGCAAATTGGCCGACGTAAAAGTCGTAGCCGCTTCCTCCCTGTGGCAGCGGATACAGGAACAGCGGGCTCTCCTGATCACGGCGGTGGTGGTGAAGTAGGGAAGGGGTGAGGTGTGAGTGTACGGTTGCAGTCACCATGTGTCTTTTGAGAGGAAGAGCAGCACTACGACCACCTGTAGCACCACCACCATCAACAGCACTACGACCACCACCAACAGCAGTAGCACCTTGCCGCGGGCGTGGAGGAGATCATATGTTTCGGCCGGAATGACGGCAGAGAGCCGAGACTGAACGCACATGCAATGCACAAACACAGAGACCAGGTACAAAGCACTGGTGAGTCCCGTAAGCAATCACAACTTGACTCCCAAGCCCTTCCTACAAACACTTTCCACACACATACGCACCCATACACACATGTAAGATGGCCTACGTCACTGGTGGCAATGTGCTGTGTCCATGTGCGTGCAATGTCCTCTGGTGCCACGTCGCGCAGCTTGTGCACGTGCAGGATGCTGTCGAGGCGCGGTACAAACGGCGGCAGGTCGCACTTGTCCACAAAGTCAAGCCCCTCGCTTTCACCCTGCTCCAAGAGGACAGCACACAAGGGACAGCAAAATGAAGGTCGTTACAATCGGCGCGCGCGCGCGTGTGTGTGTGTGTGTGTGCGTATGCGTGTGTGCGTATGTGTGGGGGTTGGCGTTGGGCGTTGGCGCTCGAGAACACGTATAAGTTCCCTAACCACACACACACACAAGCACACATACACAAGCACAACACACACAAGCACAAGCACACACACACGCAGACACGCACGTGTGGCTGCTGCTTAGCGTCAGTTGCGTGCTTGATGAGCTCCTCTTGGAGCTTTTTGGCGGTCGCATCTTCGTCCGACGACTGCAGCTTGGTGAAGGACAGGTCTTTCTCAAACACCTCCACGCCATCCTGCACCACAGACCTACACAAGAAGCAAATTGAAAGCGTGAGTTGCTGCCGTGCACACGCACAACAAAGCACAGGGGTCCACAACTCAAGTGTCGCTGGTCAAAGAGAGACACAGCTCTTACTTGGACTTCAGCTGCTGCTTGATTTTATCCTGGTAACGCGATGCAAACGGGTTCTTCTCCAGCTCTGCACAAGGCGAAGCAACACAGTGCAATTGTGAGAAAACAAAACACAACCTTCGTGCACATGCACAGGTGCAACTACCACCCTACATCATGGCAACAAGTCCTTTCCATCCAGTCCCGCCTCACCTTTCTCCAGCTCGCTGACTGGGACAGCTTCCTTCTCCTTGGGAAACGAATACCGGGCTGCTGTTGACAGGCAACGCGGGCTGGCGATGTGCCAACAAGCCTGCGCACGCCCCGCTCCACCGCCCACAACACACCTTGCTCCTCGTCGCAACAGCGCCATCATCGCCATCGTGGTTGCTGAATTTCGTCTTAAGATATGGCTATTCGTCCCAACTTGACCTGGCTGAGAGGAAGGACACACACAACTGTTGTGCGTGCTTTCGCCTTCTTGCTTCTTGCTTGTTGCGAGCGACGATGACTGGCAGCGGTGGCCTTGGCGAGTCAAGAAGGGGAGCAAGGGAGGATAGCGGAAGCAGGCATTATGGGAACGATGCTGCTGGATATCTGTGGCACGATGTGCTCTGGCAAGCCATGCGGGTGTTGAAATGGCTGGCAATTGCTTCTGTTGTGGTCATGGCGGTGTTTGCTGTGTGCTACGCCGCAAGCGTCTTCATCTACGGGTCAGTGCACGCGAGTGCGTGCTTGCGTGAGTGAGTGAGTGAGTGTGTGTATGATTGTGTGTGTGTATGATTGTGCGTGCGTGAGAGAGTGAGTGCGTGAGTGAGTGAGTGGGTGGGTGAGTGAGAGCAGTAATGTACGTGTGCGTGTTCGTGCGGTTGCCTGCTTGCTTTGTCGTGTTTGCGAACACTTACGCTGAGTGTTGCTTGTTGTGTTGTTGGTTGAGATCAGAGTGACGTACTGGTGGATTGTACCAGAGCCAGAACACTCGTGGCCGCTGTACTTTGACTACGGCTCCAAGGGTGGCCAACGTCCTCTTACACACGTTCGTCACAACTGCCAGCACACCCTGTTTTTGATTTCGTTTTCCTCTGCTCGTCATCCCTCTCCCTCTCAGTCCTCTCCTTCTCATCATGCGTCACGCATCGCATCATTTATCGCGCATCGTGCATTTTCAGGTGTACCTGAGCCATGACACGCGCCACGCGCTTCGCGTTGGACAAGGTGGGTGCTGGTACGTGTTGCAAGGCGTCGATCCACGCGCATTGGCTTGTTGGTCATGCAAGTGTACTCGTGTGGTACGCGTGCGCATGCTGGTGATGGGCAGATCTCACATCAGACAATGCCACATCATACAACGCATTCTTTCGTTGCTGCGGTGTTGGAACAACAGCGTATGATTTCACGGTGGAGCTGGAGCTGCCAAACTCGCGGCCGAATCGGCAGGCCGGCATGTTCATGGTCTCGCTTTGGCTGTCCAGCACCAAGGATGATGCGCACGCTTCCCACGACATTGCGCTCCATCAAGGCGAACTCACCGCAACGGGGAACGTGAGCCTGTGTGTGTGTGTGTGTGTGTGTGTACGTGGGTATGCTTGAGTGTGCGAATGTTCGTGTATGTGTGTGTATGCTTGAGTTGGTGTGTGTGTGTGACTGTGTCTGTCTGCCTCCCTCTGCCTCTGTCTGTCTGCCTCCCTCTGCCTCTGTCTGTCTGCCTCCCTCTGCCTCTGTCTGTCTGCCTCCCTCTGCCTCTGTCTGTCTGTCTCCCTTTGCCTCTGTCTGTCTGTCTCCCTCTGCCTCTGTCTGTCTGTCTCCCTCTGCCTCTGTCTGTCTGTCTCCCTCTGCCTCTGTCTGTCTGTCTCCCTCTGCCTCTGTCGTTTCGTGTTGCGGACTCGCCTTTGGTCGTCCATGACAGGACCTCACCTCGCATTTCCACCACCTCTACCACCACCACCACTCCGCACTCCTCCCAACCCCCGGCCGTGTCCCACGTGTCCAGCTTGTTGAGGCGAGCCCCGGGGTGGGCGGGAGTCGGCCTGCAATGCTGCCGTACCGCCCGAGCATCGTCCACTTTCTCCGCCGCATCCTCCTCGCCGGCCCGTATCTCCTCGGCCTCGTCGACGACACGCAGGTGCTGTGCTGTGGTGTGTATGGGATTGTGCTGTGTTTTGTGTTGTGCTGTGGTGCGTTGTGCTGTGGTGTGTGGTGATACCAACACCACGCGTTGGTGCGTGCGTGTCTGCGAATGGTACAGCTCATATTCACACACACAAACAAACTACACTGCTGCCTTGTCAACGCATTGGCGCATCATCTGCCAGACGGTGACAGTGCCTGTAATGCAGCATGTGCACGTGAAGGGCCGTGGGCTCCACTGGGCGAGCGTGTCGCTCTCGTCATCAAAGCTGCAAGTCACCCGCGCCACCCTCATGGCCCGAACACGCATGCAGGGAATGACGTGAGTGCACGCGCTATGAATGTGTCTGTGTGTGTGCCTGTGTGTGTTTCTGTGTGTGTGTGTTTCTGTATATGTGTGTGTGCGTATGTTTGTGTGTGTATACATGTGTGTGTGCGTGCGTGTGTGTCTGTCTCTGCCTCCATGCTGTTGGCGACAACCATAATTGCCACCATAATCCTGCTTTCTTCTCACCTTGTACCTCCGCAGGTATTGGATGTACCACTGGTTCCTGAGCTCCTTCGTCGTCGGAACCCTCATGCTGGCATCAGCCTTGACCGTCGGCATCCTCCTCCTCATCCTCATCCTCATCTGGGTATGTGTCGATGCCTGCACGTGTGTGTCTGTGTGTCTGTGTGTCTGTGTGTCTGTGTGTCTGTGTGTCTGTGTGTCTGTGTGTCTGTGTGTCTGTGTGTCTGTGTCTGTGTGTGTGTGTGCGAGGACACTTGTATGTATCTATTTTTCACGACGCTTACGTTTGTCCATTCCTGTTCACCCCCTCCTTTTGTTCTCTCCTCCCTTGTCAGCCGTACATCCACGAACCTGTCATGGCTGCTGTTCACACCATCATTGGAGACGACGACGCTGGTGACCATTATCCCCACCATGATGATGATGATGATGACGAGCGGGCACGCCAGGAAACGCAACGCGGTGAGGCGTGGTGGTTTGTGTGTGTGTGTGTGTGTGTGTGTGTGTGTGTGTGTGTGTGTGTGTGTGTGTGTGTGTGTGTGTGTGTGTGTGTGTGTGTGTACACACCTGGAGGTTGGCTTTTTGTGTATGTGTGTGCGTTTGCTGTATTGTGTCGATATTCGCGCGCATGCTCTCCTTCTCGCATTACTCACGCACCACGCACCATGCACCGACACACACGCATACGCGCTTGCTGTTGCAGGTCTGGTGTACAACCCAGAGCTGGACATGGACGTCTTGCCCGGTGGCGATGACAACACTGGGGGCGCGGGTGCCGTTGATGTGGACGAGCTCGCGCATCGGCTGCAGCGGGAATCACGACAGCGAGCCAGACACGCTGTTGGTGGTGGTGGTGATGCTGATGATGATGATGATGATGATGATGACAGCAGCAATGACGAGCCGGAGAGGACAAGGGAGCGCCAACACACCTCGTCTATCAACATTGCCCGTGCGCACACACGGTCCAAGGGCAGCCACGAGGGCGCTGATGACAACGGTGGTGAAAATGACGCAGGGGAGATGAGTGATGCAGAGGATGTGCTGCACGAAGAAGGTCGACGAAGAAGAGACATTGGACATGTTGCTGGTGGGGGAGATGGAGAGTACCGTGACGACCACGCACAACAGTCGTCCTCGCTTGGGCCCGCTCCTTCCCTCGCCACCACCTCATCCACCACCTCACCCGCGCTTCGACGACGTCGACATGAACGGCAGCGAGCGGAGCAGTGAAGAGTGAGAGGCAGGAGCGGGTGAAGTGGCGTTTGTAGATTAATTGCAATGTTACCAAATAAATGTCAACGTCCAAGATGACGATGATGTCGTGGACGTCGCGCCACGCAAGTTGTGTGCGTGCGCGTGTGGCAGCTGCACTGGCATCGCCGCTGCCGCTTGTGGTGGTAGTGCTGCTCCTGCTGCTGCTGCTGAGCTGCGTCGGCGCCGCGGATGCTGGCACAAGTGCAGCACTAGCAGCTGGTGTGCATGATGTACAGGCCATCCAGAAGGAGAACGCGTCATGCAAGCTGTGGGCAATTCAACAAGCTCCAGGGTGCGTCCTGCACACTTGAACAATGGATGGCCTGGGAGTGTGGAGGAATCGCACGCCCTCGTGTCTTGGCTGTTGTCCTCCCCTCCCCCCTTACTCCCTTTCGCGCACAGTTTGCTCACTCACAAATGCTTCCTTGCTCCGCCTCCCCCCCCCCCGGAATTATTCGGTTTGAATAGATCACAGCCGTCGGATGACTGGGAGGAGTTGCTGCAGAGGGTGGTGGAACAGATGGACGTGGCTGTCAGCAAGCTTCAGCGTGACCCAACTGCCGCCTGCGACTTGGTGCTCTTCCCTGAAGCTGTGCTGTGGGGCCAGGCCCTCCCTTTTCGCCCGGCCGTCTTCAACCTCAGCACCCCGTTCCATAATGGCACAAACCCGTGCACTACCAGCACACAGCAGAAGCAGGTCGGGTTCAACCTGCCGCGACAGTTGTCGTGCCTCGCTCATCGGCAGCACGTGTACCTGGCTGCAAGCGTCGTTGACCGCGTGCCGTGCAACCAACACAGCGACGCCGCAGCCTGCCCTGACGACGGCGTGTACCTGTACAACACGCTCGTGGTGTTTGCGCCGAGCGGGCAGCTCATCGCCAAATACCACAAGGCGCACATCTTCGGCACTGACTCTGCCATGAACCAGGCGCCGCCGCAACCCGTCACCTTCTTTGTCCCAGAGATCAGCACGACCATCGGCATTGTCAGTCTGTGTCTCTGTCTGTGTTTGTGAGTGTGTGTGCATGGGTGTATGAGTGTATGAGCGTGTGCATGAGTGTATAAGTGGGTGTGTGTGTCTGCGTGCATGGGTGTATGAGTGGGTGTCTATGAGTGTATGAGTGTGTCTATCTTGTCTGTCTGTCTGTCTGTCTGTCTGTCTTTGCTCCCCCCAAACCTCACCATGCATTTACGCCTGCCTAACAAAGCCAATGTGCAACTGCGCTCCCCCTCTCCTTCCATCCCCCCAATCCGGTTTTGCCCGGCCAGCTGATTTGCTATGACATGGAGTTCCAGCAGCCAAGCCAGGCCGTGCTCAAGGACACCGACATCATCCTCGCTGCATCCGAGTGGATCAACGACCCGCCCCTCTTCACCGCCGTCATGTACCAGCAGGCCTGGTGTGTATCCCATCGCACTTTGACGTAGTGTACTGATTGAGAGTCTGCGGTTCACACAACCAGCAGCTGAACACAAGGCCACATCTCAAGCACACAAACATATCCACGCACAATCGCATCCGCGCACGCACAACTCACAACACACACACACACACACGCACACACACACACACAACACACACACGCACACGCATGTCTCTCTTCTCTGCTCGCAGGAGTGAAGCGCACAATGCGACGCTGGCGGTGGCAAACAGAGCAGACAACGGATACGTTGCTGGTGGCGGCATATATTCGCGTGGTCTGCGTATCAACAGCACCGAGAACACAGCACCTTGCCGGGCCGCAGAGGGGCGGCTGGGCTCTGCTGGATGCACGCTCCAGCCCGTGGCCATCCCTGTCAGCACGCTGCTGCCCGTCACAACAGCACACGCCGGCGGTGAGACGAATAAGATCACTGACACGGTGGGGAGCAGCAGTAATGCTGACGGCCATCGCAACAACAACAACAACAACAACAACAACAACAGCAACAACAACAACAACAGCAACAACAACAACAACAACAACAGCAACAACAACAACAACAACAACAACAACAACAGCAACAACAACAACAACAACAACAACAACAACAACAACAACAACAATAGTAACGGCAGAGGCAACGCAAGTGAGGGTGATAGCAGCCGCGTGGTCTCCACTGTCACCACTGGCTGGCGCAAGTCGCTGTGTTCATCGTACGCGACGCAGTGGTTCCCGTTTGACTGCAGCGTGCACGAGGTGCCAGACTTCACGCCACCAGCAGGTGGAGATGAGACGCGAGTGCGCTCACCCGTGCTGCGGCTCAACCACACCTTTCGCGGCAACGGCACCACGTGTCACATCACAGGCACCATCATCAACATAACCACGTTTGCGGCTGCGCACGACTCCGCCCACCGTCCACGACCACCATCATCGCCAGCGTCAACGCGTTTGAACCAGCGCAACACGATCCTTGTTACGGCGTTCAGCCAGCACCACGGCGAAGACTTCCCCCATACCCCAGACACGCTGCACGTGGAGAGCTGCGGCGTGACGCTGTGCATCCCATCGGGGACGGAGACCGCCGACAGCGCCCGCATCCACTGTCAGCGGCAGTGGGCCGGTGGCAACACGGGCATCATCTTCGACGCGCGCGATCCGCTCCGCATCACACACACACGCACGGCATGGCCGGGACCCGACCCGATACCAGAGGCCCTCGTCCTCATGGCCAACCCATATGGGGTGCGCTCGGTGTAGAGAGCACGGGTGATGTGTGATGTATGTGTGTGTGTAATGTATGTGTGTGTGAACACTATTGTTGTTGTTGTTGTTGTTGTTGTTGTTGTTGTTGTTGTTGTTGTTGTTGTTGTTGTTGTTGTTGTTGTTGTTGTTGTTGTAGTTGTTGTTGTTGTTGTAGTTGTTGTTGTTGTAGTTGTTGTAGTAGTAGTTGTTGCTGTTGTTGTTGTTGTTGTTGTTGTTGTTGTTGTTGTTGTTGTTGTTGTTGTTGTTGCTGCTGCTGCTGCTGCTGTTGTTGTTGTTGTTGTTTTTGAGTTACCTCCGGTCGCCACTCACACCACCGCCTACGACCCCCCTCCCCCCCCCCCACCCACCACCACCACGCCGACAGGTACCACCGCCATCCCTGCGCGACGCTGCTGATATTGAGCGTGACAGCGGCAGCGACGACGAAGCCGTTGTCCGCGTCACGACACACACGCGCGACCCCATGGCCATGATCGCTACGTTCCGCACATGGTGATGGCTGTGCCACAAGCAGCAGCTGTGCGCCCGGCTGTTGCAGCCCCTCCTTGCCTTGTTACATTGTTACCACTTCTGATGACGCATGTTCGTCGCGCTGTTGTCTGTTTATTCTTGGGCTTCGTTTACGGGTTGAGCTTGTAGTGGTCATAGAATGATACAAACTCCCCAAATGCCTCTGCCATCCATGGCTTGTTCCGCCCTGTCCAGTGCAGCAGCTGTGCTCGCTCAAGCAGCTCCCTGAATGAGACGGAGTAGGGTGTGTGGTGGATTGTGGGGAGCAGGCGGACGCGTATGAGAGCGGGAGGGTCCCTCGCTCGTGGAATTCGAAGGAATGGATGTGCATGCACACGTACGCACACATGCATACAAACATACACACATGCGCACACACGCACACACACGCACACACACACACACACACACACTTTGACAGCTTCACCTTGGCAGGTGCTTCCCCGTGTTGGATCCCAGTCCGCGGATGTGCCACAAGTCAGGCAGTGATGCGTACTTCTGTTGGGGCAAAGGAGGGCAATTGGTGTGAGGTGAGAAGGCAAGTCCCACGTTCAACATGCATGCGTGCGTGTGTGTTTGTTCAACCACATGTGCATGTCAACGGTTATCAAGCCGCACGTTGTAGAAGGTAATGAGCATGGGAGGCTGTGAGCCGCCACCAGCACCCTGTCCACCATACACGTTCTCCCTGCAAACAAACAAGGGCGAGTGGTGCGCGAGGTGAGTACGAAATGAAAATGAATTGAGTGCGCAACACGTGCACCGGTGGACAACGTATGCAGACCTTCATGCCGCGCTCAACTGCCGTCACCAACCTGGTGTTGAGTTCGAGCCATGCCACCAGTTGCTGGGTGGTGCTGTCTTGCCGCCACACAGCTGCATCACCCACAAACACACCCGCATTGAAGCTGCACGCCCTGTTGTCGTGGTGTCGGGTGTGAGTGGTTAGTTTGTGTGATGTGGGAAGCTGGTGTACTTGTGGTTGCAGCGCATTGCTGTCGCGGATGCGAACAGCCACACTTTTACGCTCATTGCCACGCACTTTGGATCCATATTGAGAGCTTGGATGTGCGGGCTGTTAAAGTTGATGAACATGTCGTATGTGTTCTGCAGTGGAGGGATGGGACAAGCGGGTGCGTTGGGGAGAGGTGCGTGCATGTCAAGAGTGAGGGACTGTGATCCATAGTTGAGCACCCAGGCGTCAGATGGCTTGACATGAAGTCTTGAGCATCACAATGGGTTCGACTCACTTGGAACATGTTGTATTGCTGGGCAGTGTCGGAACAGTCCGTGCTCACGGCAATGCCTCGCGAAAGCATGTCCACCTCCCACAGCTCAAGGATGTCGCCTGCAAGTGAACGTGTGAGACTAAATGAGCTTGGAGCGTGGAGTGGAGGAAGTGCAGGGATTGGGGGATAGCGTGAGCAGCTGGAGCATCAAACGCCGACGCACCTTGCACAATGACATCGTCGTCCAGGTAGATGAAGCGCGATTCAATCTCAGGGAAAAGGTCGGGTATGAAGTAGCGCGCATAGTTCATCTGCGGTCGCAAGGATTGGTCAGAAGTGAGCAGAGGAGTGAGAGAAAGGGAGGAAACAAGGCAATCACTGTGCCTGCATACTCACACACACACACTCACGCACACACTCACGCACGCACATGCACGCACACACACATGCACGCACACATATACGTACAGGGTTTGCGAGGGTCTGGCGGTTGCCTCTGATCTTGATCTTGTCTTTGGAAAGCAGCTCTTCGGTTAGCACGCGGACGGTGATGGGAAGCTTGGGGAATGCGCGCTTGAGCAACACCTCCGTGCGGGTGGCAGATGGCGCGTCTGTGACGGCATACAGCGTGACTGCCGCTCTCGTGTTCAGGAGAACCTGGCGATACAGGTGTGAACGGGACAGAAGAGCAAGCTAAGTGGTGATGAAGTGGCTTGCGCGACAAGAACGCAACCCGAACCTTCAACCACACACACACACACACACACACACACACACACACACACACACACACACACACACACACACACACACACACACACACACACACACACACACACACACACACACACACACACACACACACACACACACACACACACACACACACACACGCACACACCGAATTGATGGTTGGCAGGGCGTGTGGCCAGCGCCTTCCATCGGCACTCATGACCAAATGAATGACTGGTGGCGTGTCGCGGTGATGCCAAACATCAGCACCCGCGCGTGCTTCTGACTGCACCATCATCGTCACTGTCATCATCATCACCAGCGCAGCAAGCGCCGCCACCACCAATCGCGCTATTGTTGTGCACTGTCTCTTGTCGTTCATCGTTACGAGAGCAAGCGGGTGAACGATTTTCCCGCCAAAACGGGCTGTACGAAACGGGACAACGGAACAGACACGGAAACAGCGGAAAGGAACTGCAGCACGCGAACCATGGCAATCAATGAATGGATGAGTGACATCCTTGAAGATGAAACGGATGTACAACATCGGCTATGCGGCCAAGGCAGCCGAGGCTCGGTTCTTGTCATACCTCCGCTCTTTCTCGCTTGTCCGAAGTGGTGTGGTTGTGTGCGTTCGCGGTCACCCATTCATGACCACGTGCAACTTTTTCTCTGGTTTCCTCATGCGTCGACAAACCCAGGCCTTTCACTTCCTCAGTGCTGTCGTTGCTTGGGTCTATTCATGCAAGACAACCAACACACACACGCACGTGCTGGCATTATCACAACGGACCCCAAGCGCCAGGCCTTGGCATGCACGGCGTGGCAAGAGTTAACGTAGCATAAGGCGGGAGAGGTATGAAGAGTGGCGGAACAGGAATTGGTGGGTGGAGAGGAGGATAGCGTCGGTTGGTTGTCTACTGGATGTGAACGGGGAACTCCGAGATGGTCGGGTGTTTCTGCAACGCAACAGCCAAAAAGAACAAGGGGCACGGGAGGGAGGACAAACCAATGAAATGACGTGAGCTTGCGCCTGCATGTGCTCATCTGCATATGCACCTCTCCATTCTCCACGTCTTCCACACACACACACACACACACACACACACACACACACACTTCTCCAGCGTTGCCTCACCGCTGCATAGTCCTCGAGGCCCTCGCCGGCGTAGCTGACGAGCGGCGAAATCTCGCACACGTGGCGGCTGTCCATCTTGGCAAGTGGCAGCTGCAGTGGGGAGCGGGGGAGGCGAGAGCAAGCGCACGGAAGCACACGAAGATGAGATCACCAGCACCCAGTGTTGCATTCGAACAAGCGGCCAAGAAGAGCTCTGGACACACACACACACACACACACACACACACACACACACACACACACACACACACACCTCTGATCCGTCCTTGTTCTGGAAGCGAACGCCGGCGGCGTTGAGGAAGAGGCGATGGAGCGCATACAGATCGCTGTATGCACGAATACATTGGCGAGTTGAACGTGCATTAATCGCTGAAGGCAAGGTCACGCACAAGGGTATACTGCACACACACACACACACATAAACAACTAAAGTGTCACAATCCCTCGTGTGCTGCATTCGGTCCACCCACCGCTGGCATGTCTCCTTCGTGCCGCTGGCAGCACCAGACGCGTTCTTGAGGGGAGAGAAGCTGTGCTCGCGCGAGACCTCCAGAACACCAAGGCGGTCCGCAAACTGGAACACGTCAAACACGAACTTCTCCATCTTCACGCCTGCAGCGGTTCATGATGACCCAAGGCAGATGGGGGGGGGGATGGGGTGGAAGGCGTGACACCCGATTCGAGAGCACAGGCACGCAGACATGCATGTGCACACAATGTTTCAGGCTCAGATACACACAGACACACAGACACACAGTCACACAGTCACACAGACACGCACGCACCGTTGTTTGCGTCTGGCTTGACAAGTGTGCCGTGGTCGTCGAGGTGGGGGATCTTCTTGTGGGCGATGTGATGCACGAGCTCCTCGTGGCGCGCCCTGCAGTGACTTGATGTGAGTCGTACGTGGATGGAGGATAGTGGGTGGTGGAGGTTGCATGCGAGCACAGACAGACAGACAGACACAGAGACAGACAGACAGACAAGAGAGACAGACAGACACACACACACACAGACACAGACACAGACACAGACACACAGACACACGCGCGCGCGCTGCGCCCCACCCGCAGACGTCGAGGAAGGCCTTTGAGAAGTAGTGGTTGCAAATGTTGCCTGCGCTGTAGAGGAGATTCCCGTCAGCATCGCGCGCCTCCGCCGTCGCCGCCGAAATCTCGCTGTACTCAACAACCTGGTACTTGTCCTTCACCCGACACAGCACGCCAACCTGCCGGGATGGTGATGGAACGATGGGATGGTGAGGCATGGTGAGATGGATAAATGACATGCACATACCCTCCCCACCACCAATCACACACAAGCACACACACACACACACACACACACACACAAACCCACCCACCCACACCCACACACCCACACACACACACACACACACACACACACACACACACACACACACACACACACACACACACACACACACACACACACACACACACACACACACACACACACACACACACCTTCTCGTGGGGCTGGGCCTTTGGGACGACGAGGGCGCCTGCCTCCACGCCCTGAGCAATGCAGAAGCCAATGAAGGTCGGGTTGGCCACCTTGACAAGCACGTTGTCCACGCAGTACACGTGCACATGCTCGATGCCGCGGCGTGCCATGTCGTCGAGGGCGCCGCGCTCCTTGAGGGCCTTGTACAGACCGCCGTTGCCGTCCGGGTTGCGGGCAATGGAGCCCTTGCCGTTGAGGATGAGCTTGCCGTCCTTGGTCAGGCTGGGTACCTGGAACTGCGAGAAGATGAACACGTCGCTCTCCTTCACGCCAAAGTAGTCGTTGGACTTGAAGAAGTTGGCTGTCTTCTCCATCGTCGCCCCGCTCGTCATCACGTACCTGGCGGGAGAATGCATATGTAAACAAACGGCCCCTTGTGTACTTGCTGTGTACACATACTCAAGAGCACTCTGCCGCCTCCACCTTACACGTACAGAGAGAGGCACACAGAGACGACAAGCAAACGAAAGGGTGCGCGCGCACACACACACACACTCACACACACACACACACCATGGGATAACGCAGTCAACGCCAAACTTGTCCTTTGCCAGCTGTTGCAGGCGCAGGATGCGCTCAGCCTGCAGCTGCAGCAGCGTCTTGCCGGAGGGGAGGCCAAGGGGGAACATGCCCTTTGGATCCTTGCTGCCGAGACGGGAGCCCTGCGTGTTGTTGGCATTGTGTCGGGGTTTGGGGGGAGGGTGTCTGTCTGTCTGAGTGGGGTTGACAAACGGATCTGTTTGCACACAGACACACAGACACATACCGACACACACACACACACACACACACACACACACACACACACACACACACACACACACACACACAGACGCATCCAGGTACACCAAACTACACCAACGACACAAAACCTCCGTTCCCCCCCCCCACACACACACACAACATGACGACGCACCTGACCGCCGGCGAGCAGGAGTGCAGCGACCTTTCCCTCTGAGATGGCCTTGAGGCCCGCATCAAACCACTCGTTCATCTCCGCTGTGGGCGGGAAGGCAGTGGCGTTGCCAATGTCGGAGGCAGGCAGGGGCTTCATGAACTCGTCCAGCTTCTCCGTGGTGCTGCCGCTCATGGCAGCCTGGAACTGCGTGTTGAGGGCATCCATGTCGATGGACAGGAGATCCTTCTCAAAGGCCGCCTTGGCCGCATCGTCAAGGTCATCGAAGAACTTGAGCACATGGCCCTGGCCGTGCTCCGTGAGCTTGGTGCGCAGCTGCTCGCTCATTTTGTTTCGGACTTGATTTGATTGTTTTGGCGTTTGTTCTTTGTTTGTGTCCGGCTGGGTAGTCGTTGCTTGTCTGTCTTCAGCAAGCAGTTCACAATCAACAAGAGGCGTGAGCGCGCATGAAGAAAAAGGACATGCGCGTAACACTCACACACACTCCACTCCAACACTCCACTGCACTCCACCACTGCAGCTGCACCTGCGTCTGCATACCCACCCATCCACAACACCACCTAGCCAGCAAACTATGCACCGCCACCACCGCCTGCATGCAGCACTGCCTGCCGCGTTTTCCCTCGGACCTTCGTTTGTTCTTTGAGGTGCGCGCGGTATTTGATGGAAGACATTCACAGCTTTTCAGCAACCAAGACCACAAACTGAATTCAGTTGTCACCAACCTTCAAAAACACCAAAACGGCAGCAGACAGTGGCGAAGGGAGCAAGACCAGCCAGCCAGATGCCAGGAGGTGCGGGGGAGAAGCAGGAGGAGGCACAAGCCTCGAGCACAGGCGCTGCCAGCTCGTCTGTGCAAGTTCAGGAAGAAGTGCCGAAGGGAAAACAAGTAACAGACACCAGCAAGGGACAACAAGGGACAACAACTACAACAAGACAGGGCATGATGACGACTGCTGGCGACAGCAAGCAGCAGCTACAGCAGCAACAACAGCAGCAACAGCAGCAGCAACAACAGCAGCAGCAGCAGCCAAGCCCGTCTACACAGGCGCAGGCACAGGCAAGGTTGTCTCGGCTGACACGGCCCACGTTCGCCCAGCGGGTGCGGGCATCTGTGGCTGCAAAAGAAAGGGAGCAGCGCGCTCGTCGCCAGCAGAAAGGTTCCACGCGACGCAAGCCAGGAACACCCTCGCGCCAGCGCGTATCAGGTGCGCCGAAAACGCCCACGCAGCAGAAGCAGGCAACCCCGGACAAGCACGGGTCCCTGCGTCAGTTCATCCGTGCACAGGCAAGGGTGTCCTATCCACAGTCATCACGTCCACAGCAGCAGCACCAACACCAACACGCGCGCAGTCAGCGTCGTGCACCCTCGCGCAAGAAACCTGCACAGAACCCTGGCAGCGCAGCGGAGAAGGCACAGTCACTAAGTGCCGCCACAGCGGAGCCCGTCCAGTCACCACCGCCGTCAGTGACGGAGGACCAAAGTGCCAACAGCACTGCGGTCGAGGCAGAGCACGACACAACGACTTCAGACAAAACGGCACCTCTCGCTGGCAAAGCGGAGCCGACTGGTCGTGGCGCTGTCGCCAACGCTGAAGAGGATGACGTACAGGCACAGGTGCCAAGTGAACGAGACCATGGCACGGGTGAAATCGAGGGCAGCGCGCACGATGCAGAGGCAACAACAACTTCAGCGGGTGATGAGCAGCAGTCCTCTGCAACCGGTCACGCAGACGCAACAGCAGCACTAGCAGATGTGACCACGACAGACGCAACAACAACAACAACACCGCCAGCAGAAGCAACACTGCCAGCAGTTGACGCAACACCACCAGTGGAAGCAGCCAGTGAGGAGGATGGTCCTGGTGCAGATGAAGAGCAAGTAGATGCGGCTGCGCCATCACCGCTGCAAGCGACACTGGCGAGCGCAGAGGAGCTCCACGCGCTGCAAGCACGGGAGAAGGATGCAACGCTGGTCTCCATCGCAGAGACAACACCAAAGGCATATCTGGCAGCAGTGGCGGACGAGCTGTCTGCACTGACGGCGGCCATTGAGCTTGAGGCACGTGTCGATGGCAGCGTGACGCAAGACTACCTGACGGAGCTCACACGCACACGCGCGGCCTCGCTGCAACTACGCGCGATTGTGACGGCGGCGGTGCTGTGTGCGCTTGAGCTTGTGCATGAGGACACAGACCACCTTCCAGCGTGGGACTCCCTCAGGCGCATCATCAAACGCAGGTGTGTGTGTGTGTGTACATGTGTGTGTGTGTATGTGTGTATGTGTGTATGTGTGTATGTCTCAGTGTGGTTCTATGTGTGTGAACTGTGGTGCACGTGCGTGTACAAACATACTTGCCAACACACTCTCACCTCCATTTCTGTTCCCACATGTGTATGTGTGTGTGTTTGCTTGTTGTCGGCTGGTTCCTCACACCTCTGCCCTACCTCATCGCTGTATAGAAACCTTCATACGCACGTGGCATCTTTTGATGCGAGACGCTGGCTCTCCCGCCATCGCCACACCCTCCACCTCCTCGATCCTCTCATTGAACGCTCACTCACACGGGACCCCGACCAGGAGGTGTGTGTGTGTGTGTGTGAGTGTGAGTGTGTGTGTGTATGTGTGTGTGTGTGTGTGTGTGTGTGTGTGTATGTGTGTGTGTGTGTGTGTGAGTGTGTGTTTGTGTGTGTGTGTGTGTGTGTGTGTGAATGCTTGTGCAAGTCGCACTTGCTACTGTTGAATGACCCACAATCGCCCTCATCATGACATACATCCACATATCCCATTCCCCCATCCAACCCTCCATCTCTCCACTCCAGCTGCCGGTCGCTGGCGTGTATCTCCGCAATTGGATCCACGCCCAGCGCCGCCTCATGTCTGCGCTCATCCGATTCGCAGCCGTCGAGCCCCTCGCCACCCACGTCGCGGTGAGGGTTGTGATGTGTGTGTGTATGAGTATGTGAGATGATGTGAGATGATGTGATGTGATATGTGTGTGTGTGTTTGTGTGTGTTTGTGTGTGTGTGTTTGTGTGTGTGTGTTTGTGTGTGTTTGTGTGTGTGTGTTTGTGTTTGTGTGTGTTTGTGTGTGTTTGTGTGTGCTCATATGTGTGGTTGTTTGGCTTATGTTCACATCACACTCCTGTGTGCTTGCACATGTTCGGACCTCACCAACTCCCTGCGCACATGTGGTTGCTTGTGCACCATCTCCCCACCGCCATCACAGCCGATTACCGCTGGGCATTTGCGCGAGATCAAAGCGCTCAAACGCACACACGAATCCCTTCAACGCGTCATTGCTGCCTCCATGCTCCTCACAGACCACAAGAACAAGTCAGTCGCTTGCATATGTATGAGTGTGCGTGTGTCTGTATGCATATGTGTGTGTATGCATATGTGTGTGTGCGTGTGCGTGTCGTGAATTTACGTGCATTCTTGTCAATCAAACGGCAATACACATGCATTGTATACATGCCATCCACTTGCAAACCACACTCCACCCCCTTAACACACCCCCTTACCCTCCCCATCACCAGGTTGTTGAAGCAGGACCTGAGTGTGTGGACAAACGTGAAGAATCTGTTGACGCACGAGTACATCAAGGCGGTCATGTCGACGATGCCGCACATGCTCGCAGACGACCGCATCCACCGCACACGCGCACAGCTCGCTCCCGTCGCCGTGAGTCTTGTCGTGCACGTGCATGCGTGTGTGCGTGCGTGTATTGCGTGTGTGTAGCGTAGCGTCTGTGGGTGCGTGTGTGCAGCGTAGCGTATGTGTGTGTCTTGAGTTAAAGCATGCAGGAGCATTGATACGTGTTCGCACGCGTGCTGTTGCTTGTTCCTCACGCCGAATAATTGCTGTTGTTGTGACAGGAGACGCCGTGCAAGCAGATTCGCAAGATGTCTGTTGCCGTTGGTACGTGTCTCTGATGCAACTCTTGATTGTCTGCGGCGATTGCTGCCTCGTTCCCTCATCCCACGTCGCTAACACACACACATGCACAAACACACACACACACGACACGACACACACGACACGACACACACACACACACATGCACAAACACGCACGCACGATTTTCCCTTTCGCCCTGTGCGTGGCAGGCGCGCTGCTGGAATGGATGGTGACGAGCATCGCTGCATATTGGGTGACGCGCGCAGCAGAGACACACGTCGATACCAACCTGTGATGATTTGCGGTGGTGTTGTTGATGACTAATTGGTTCAGTCGTCGGCTGATGTTGTTTCCTGATTTATTCCCCCCACCCCTTCTTCCCTTCCCCTATGTTGCTCCCCTCACTCGGCTCGCTTATCTGCTCTCGCTACTGTGTCACGTGTGTGTTCTCTCTCTTCGCTCTTCTCTTTGAATGAATGCACGTTTCGTTTCGGATCTCTCTCTTTCTTTCTCTCTCGCCTTCCACACTGTTCGCACCCCCTTTTCTTATCTGCATGCATGCATCTGAATCTCACTTCTTTCTGCTTCTTTAATTGGAGTCCATGTCGTTTCAGCCCTTTCCTTCACATTGCACCAAACAATGAGTGACACACGTCCGTGGCAGCAGTTGTGTACACATCAGCACAAACAGATAACAAGGACAGGAAGAGAGAAGGAGAGGCTGCTCATGAGGCAAATGACAAACAAACAAACCAACACAGACGCACACACACACACACACATATCACATTACAGTGTCCACCGCGCGTCACATAAGGTCTTCCTCCGTGAGCATCTGCTCGAGCTGCTGGTCGAGATCATCTGGGATTTCGCAGTCGTCGTCGAGGTCCAGGCCGGCTAATTCCGCATCAAATTCGTCCTCAAGCTCCTATTGTTGATGGAAGGGGGATGAGAGGGGTTATGAGGAGAGCCGCGATAGACACACACACACACACACACACACACACACACACACACACACCCTGTTTTGCTGACACATACAGTTGCTGACACTATTGCAGACACACGTACCTGCAAGCTGTTGATTTCGCCGCGCACTTCGTCTTCCCATCCCTCTGTTTGAGAGAAACTGACGTGTGAGATGAATCGGGTGCCAGATGCATGCACACAGACAAACACAGACAAACACAGACAGACACACACACAAGCGTACAACTCACCTTTCTCAAACACGGACGTGGGTTCCTCTGCTTTGTCCTTCTGTGGCGTTGCCTTTGTGTCATCCTCCGTGTCATCAGCATCACCCGCGTTCACATCAGCACCGTCGTTGCCAGCGTTATCATCACCTGCATCATCGTCATCAACATCATCGTTGTTGCGGTTGTCGCTGTTGCTCGCTGCATCATCACTGCCACTGTCGGCGCTGCAGCGGGCAGGGCTGCCGTGCGTCGCGTCTGCGTGTTGTGTGTCCTCGTCTGTCGTTTCTGCATGCGCCTCATTCTTCTTCTCATTCTCCCTTCCCTCACCCTCACCCTCACCCTCATTCTCATCATCACCGCCATCGTCACCTTCGCTCACCGCATCCCTCTCCGTCCTGTGTTGTGTTTCGCTGCTGCGTCTCGCCCTCGCATCTCCTGCGAGCGCCACATTCGTTCACCCAAAGGCGGGGGGGGGGTTTGAGATGACAATGGAGTTGAGGTGAGACTTGCAGCTGAGGCAAAGGAACTCACACACACACACACACACACACACACACACACACACACACACACACACACACACACACACACACACACACACACACACACACACACACACACGCACACCTCTGGAGAGCTGGTCTGTGTTCTGTGCCATGGTTCTGGCCATGTCGGTGGATTGCTTGATGAGCTCCACGCGGTAAAAGTAGTTGCGCCAAAAGTCGTGCTCCGAGATGCTGGGAGGTGCCAACAAAGCACAACGCCATGTCATCAAGCAAGTCAGCGAGGAGTGGAGGCAGCGGCAGGAGTTTGGACAGCTGCTCAAAGGTAACGCAGATGTTCGCACACACACACACACACACACACACACACACACACACACACACACACACACACACACACACTCACTCACTCACGCCTTGGGGACGAGCTTGAAGCGGAGTTGGTCGAGGCGGTGGTCCTCGAGCAAGGTGGCCTGAGCAATGGGGAAGGCCACGTCAAAATCAAAGTCAAACTGCGCGCCCGGTGGTGGGTCGCGGGTGACGTTGCGCTCGTCGTTGGACAGCGCCAGGATCTTGGAGCGCAGTTCCTCCTCATCGTCACAGCCAACCCATGGCGGGACAGCAGCACCTGCACACAGCACAGCACAGCATGTGCGACACATAGCCTTGATTGAGTCACACGAGTGGTAGGGAAGGCGTGCGCACGCTACCAAGCAAACGAGCGAGAAACACAAGGCGTTGTTGCGATTCACACGCGTACGTGCGCACACACACCGCTCAGCTTGGCGTGCTTCTCCTGCATGAACTTTTGGTGCTCCTTGTCAAAGTCCGAAAAGGCAACAGACGTCTACGACAGACGACACCAATGGGCGAAAAGCAAGTTATGCACGTGTGTGTGTGTGTGTGAGTCCATTGCGTGTGGGAGCACAGCTGCACGCCTTCCGACATGCCTGTGCCACACGCCTTAACACCCATCATGCACAGTCATCATACCACTTGGTTGACGCCTTGCTTCAGCTGGGACCCAAACCCTTGCATTCTGGAAAAGAAGGCTGTGCCACAGACAATCATTGCATGAGCGTAATTGACACACACACTCACACACACAGAGAGAGAGACAGAGAGAGAGAGAGAGAGAGAGAGACCCGCGAGAGAGAGAGAGAGAGAGAGAGAGAGAGAGAGAGAGAGCGACAGACAGAGACAGCCGACAGATAGAGAGAGAGATAGAAACAAATAGAGACAACCCTCACAGACACAGTCATAAGACAGAGAGAGAGACACACACGCACACACACACACACGCACAAACACTCTCACACACGCACAAACACACTCACACACACGCACAAACACACTCACACACACGCACAACACACACACACACACACACACACACACACACACACACACACACACACACACACACGCACAAACACGCACTCCCACACAAAGCTTACGGTCATCACACAATGAACGTACAGTTCATGACGGAGGAAGAAGAGGATGACGGCTGCCTTTCCTCCTGCTGCCCTTCCTGCGCTTCCTGCTGTTGTTGTTGCTGTTGCTGGTCGTTGGTTCCATCGTCTTGTCTCTCATCGTTTGGCGTCGGATCAGCCGACAGGATGCGCGAGAATGATGAGAACATGGCGGGTGGTGTGTGGCGTTGGCGACGTTATTGTTGACGATGAATGGGTGCAGCAAGCAAGCTCCAAAGCAGCAGCAAGCAAGAAAAAAGACGAACCAAAAAAGCTACTCCCCTGGCAAGGCTCGAACTTGCAACCTCTCGATTAACAGTCGAACGCGCTAGCCAATTGCGCCACAGGGGACCTGCTTTGTTGCATATTCTCTTTAATTTTTTATATATGAATAGTACTCGCCTTTGTTTTTGTGTGGCGCCCTTTTTTCAGTCAGACAAACGTGTTTCGACAAGACACAACACAGGCAACAGGAGGCAGCAGGAGGAATGGCTAGGCGGAAGTTGGTGCACGATGGTGAGTTGTGCGGCTGTCGCACTTTGCTTTCTTGTCGCACTTGCTTGCTTCTTGCTTTTTTTTGTGTGTGTTTCTGTGCAGCAGCAGCAGCCGCAACAGTGGCAACACCAGCCAGCCACGCGCAAGCATCTGCTTGATTTGGTTGATTTGTGAGGTTGTGCTGCGTTCACGAGGGTTGCACGCAACATGTTCGCGGGTGTAGGGGCCAACATCTACTTGGTGGTGCTGACCAAGGATGGAGAGCACACCATGCACTGGGCTGCGGAGTCTGCCAAGGTAGTGGCTCGATTTGCGCGTTTGCTGCCTGGTGGCATGCGTTGCGTTGTCGTGTAGCATGTGATTGCCGAATATATCGCACTGCCCCTCACTGTGCTTGTATGTGTGGTGCGGTCGCGTGTGCGTGTGGGTTTTCTTCCAGGAACTGCGGCAGTGGTACCATGCGACGGCCGTGCACACGATGGCCATGAGCGAGCTGCCCAAGCTGGAGAGGGCGGATAGCCCTGCCAATGCACCGGGCAAGACAGTCATCTTGGTGCCTCGCATGCTGGAAGGCGTGGTCTTCGACAAGCTCTCGCGCTTTGCCTACGGCTCGCCATCACAACCAAAATCAGCAGCAGACACGTGAGTGATCCATGAGCAGATGAAAGCTGATCAGAAAGGAGGGGATGAATCTGTGGACAGCGCATGCACCTGCTTGTGGTGGTAGAGTTCCTCTCGAGTTTGTGCATCATCACGCGGTTTCTTTTCCATCACATCGTTGACGTTTGAGTGTGCATTGCTGGGTCGAGCAGGGGTGGCAAGGCGGTGGTGATGGCGCTGCCATGTTTGCTGGCGCTGCTCAAGGCTGGGCAGGAGATGATCCCCGTCAATGCCCTGCACCAACCCCTCTTTAGCACGGTGTTGTCCAACTGCTGCATCTCGTGCAGCGGCTTCTCGCCCTCCGAAAAGGCCACCATGCACGACCGCATCCTGCGCCTGGTGCGTGCACACGTTTGTGTTTGTGCGCGTGCATGTGTGTGCGTGCATGTGTGTGTGTGTGTGTTTGTGTGTATGCACGTGTGTGTTTGTGTGTCATGTCTTGCCACGCCATACGTTTGTTTGCGCTGTGCTCACGACTGGCACATGTGTGCTGTTTTGGTTGTGGAGCAGGGCGGGCGATACATGCCTGACTTGACAACAGATGTGACGCACCTCGTGGCCAAGGGCACCAAACGCTTCTCCAAGAAGATACAGGTCCGTCATAACACCTGCCCATTCAAAGCCGCAATCCCCTCACTTTTTTTCTTCTATTCGTCGTCTTGACGTGGCACCGCTCTCACCGCGCGCGCGTGTGTGTGTGCTGTGTGTGTGTGCTGTGTGTGTGTGTGTGCACGCATGTCTCCATCTCAGATGTGGCAGCGGATGGGCCGCAACACGCTGGCGCAGTCGTGGCTCAAGACCATGTACGACACCGTGCGTCGTGGCAAGCACCTCACCCGCGTCGAGCCAGAGGTGCGTGCTGTATCCTGTGGTATTGTATCTATGGTGTTTTGTGTGTGGTTGAGTGTATCAACGTACTGACAAACACACACATTCACACACACACACGCACATTCGCACACACACACATGCACACATGCACACAGGAAAAGCATTTGCTGCCCATGCTTGATGGCTGCATGTTCTGCGTCTCCGGATTGCCCCAGGACGAGCGCGAAAGCGTCAAGGTCGTCATGCATCTTGCACGCATGTTGTGATGTGGTGGTGCGATGTGCCTGTGAATGATCAAAGGGCTCATAGCTTGTGTGTGTGTGTGTGTGTGTGTGCTTGGTCTCGTCACGATTGTGCAGGCGGTGGTTGAAACGCATGGCGGCTCATATTCGCGCACGCTCAACAAGGACTGCACGCACCTCGTGTGCAGTGTTGCATCGGGCAGCAAATACTTGCACGCCCTCCAGTAAGTGTGTGTGTGTGTGTGTGTGTGTGTGTGTGTGTGTGTGTGTGTGTGTGTGTGTGTGTGTGTGTGTGCCGTTGTGTTGTTGGCTCGTGACGCAGTGTCGTTGCTACCGCTCACCGTGAATTTATTGTACATGTGCACACGTGTGTGTCAACCCACGCAGGTGGGGGACGCACGTGGTAACACCGGAATGGCTCAGCCAGTGCATGAAGAACAAACACAGAGTGCCCGAGAAGACCTTCAAGGTCGGCACCTCTCGGCGTTCCCATGCACTTGCTTTGCTGTATATTCTCCTGTTTGAACCGCTCTCTCGTGTTCGCACACACACACACACACACACACGCATGTGTTCGTGGTTACTCACTGCATGGACTGTATGGGTTGTACCTTCGCCTTTTTTTTTTTTGTTCTTCTTTCTTTTGTTTTGCGACACCAGCCGACGGCTGGGGGCTCGACGCTGACGAGGACGGAAGCACGTGCCGTGATTCGGGACAAGGGCGAGGAACAATTGCTTGCAGGCACGCGCGTGCTGCTGTATGGACTGCACGGGCAGCGGCTTGCGTTTTACACGCGGCTAATCTGCTCGATGGGAGGAGAGGTGGTGGTGTACAACGGCGACAACGCCAACACCAGCTGTAGCAGCAGCTGCGCGACCGGTGGCGGTCAGCAGCAGGAGACCAGCAGACGACCTGTGAAGAGAGAGGAAATTGTTGATGATGACGAGGATGACGAGGATGACAATGATGACGACAACGATGGTGCCGACGGTGGTGGTGGTGGTGGCGGCGTTGGTCTTGATGACAACACCACGACTGATACGGAAGCAGGGCCGCAGTCATGTCCATATACCCACATCATCGTCACAGGCGTGAGTTGTGGCCTGTGTTGCTGTTTTGCTTCCCTGCACGTGCGCGTGTGTCTGGCGTCATGTGGTGGAGATGCACATACACCCTCTTCTGCTCGTCCTCACAACAGCTTGTTTTGCCTCTTCGCGCCACTTTTGCCACCTTGTCTCCTTTTTTGTTGGTTTGTTCGCATCTTCACAGATGGTTGATGCGAAGCTGCGGGCTGTGTGGTCGTCATCAGCGCCACCAGTGCACATTGTCACGCCGGAGTGGGCGCTCTCCGTCCTCACATCTCGCCAACGCATCCCAGAGCGAAAGTACGGAGAGAGAGAGAGAGACACACACACACACACGCACGCACGCACGCACGCAGGGGCATGCTGACGAGAGGGAGACCGGGGTTTGCTTCCACTGCCTCGCTCGTGATTCTGCGCTCATGTATGTTCTGTGTGTGTGTGTGTGTGTGTGTGTGTGTGTGTGTCTCTCT